CAAATATATATACATATATATGAATGTGTGTGTATGTCTATATATATATATATATACGTTTGTATTCTTATAGGGGTGTGTGCGTGTGGCTGCGTGTACACATAGTGTGTATCCGTTTGTGTTCGTGTACGAGTGTTTATGTCTTTGTGTACATATTAGTGTTTCAATGTGGGTGAGTTCCTGGTTTTAGGTGAAGGTGTGAAGGTGCGTGTGTGTTTGGGTGGGTGTATGGGTGCTAGTATGAATGGGAATGTACGCGAGTATTTAGAATTGATGACGTGATTATTTCAAAATGCCGGAAACTTCAATGCAACTTCAACGACCACTAAAAGATGATATGTTGATGCAATTAGCTAAGAGAAGCTACAATGCCCGTCAGCAGCGAATCATAAGACAGGCTACACTTATACACCAGAACGTTCGTATTGGCTCGACTAACCTCAATGTCAGGTGCAGGTGATCCAGGCATACCGACAAAGTTACCGGTTTTTCCATACAAGACTTGTTGGAGTAGGCTTACGTCTGCATATAATTACTACAAGAACAACCTTTTGAATTTTTATAGAGACAGTACGATTATTGTATTTAACAAAGAGGTAAGACTCTCACTGTATGGAATAAATACATCATTTTTTGCGCGAGTATAATGTACGCATGTATGACGAAATAATCTGGCAATTAATATTTCCACCATAGAGCGCATTTCTTCTGTTTTTTCCCCACAGTGTGTCTGTATATTGGAAGGCAAAGAGTATGTAGGAGTAAATATTTATAAATATAAACCCTGCCGGCTGCCTGTGTTGCATGATCTAACAACGTCACCCATTCAAAGAATCGATTTTTTGATTATGCCGGGAGCGAGCGCAAGCGAGCAATTTTGATTAATTTGACAGAGGAAAAGGGAAGAAAAAGAGGGCCTTTTATGGGGCGTAAATAGCTCTTGTCACATTCCTGACACATGTCAAATGTTTCTTACATCGTCGCTTCACATTATATTATATAAAAATATTTTTATACGTACTGTTGGATTTTGGAAAGAACTTGCACGATGCGCCGATCTCATTCTAAGCATGGTGATTATAAAGACTGACGCGTAGCAAGCTATTCGTATGCCTATATATCACAGATCATGCCGGACCTAACGAGCTCAAGTACAACCTTGAACTCAACAGCAAAAATATTGGCATCAACCGCGCATCAATACTCCGCCTTTGTCAACACAGCATACACCAAAAGTTTACAAAATGATAGCACGTCGAGCAAATAAAGATCAGTTGCAAAGTATTTATATTGCATGAACAAATAATATATATTTACACACATCTATATAT